CGCTCTTCCTCCAGCGGGAGAGGCCTGGGCCATCCCAATATTTCACGCAATTGAGTACCTAAATGTAAAAACACATCCTTATTACACAATCCTAGGTTTCCCCACACAAGCAGGCAACAGAAAAAAAACCCATAGTTTCCAAGAATCCAAGCGGGTATTGAAGCAGAAATACCAGTGAACTGTTGAAGGCGATCAGCATCAAACATGGATTCGTCCTTCTCCAAAGCATCCTTGAGTCCCGAGGCCAAATGGTCGTAAGTCAGATCCTTATCTTCAGACGAAAATAGACAGAGATATTTAGTTTACACTATCTCCATTACCCAGAAAAGAGAAAAACTAAAAAACTTTTACGAAATTAACCGAGTCTACAGAGAACAACAGAACAGAGCTTAATCTCCATACGCATGTGATAAAATGCATTCTCTCTACATATACACACATGCATGACTATCAATCACGTCGATGAAGATGAGAGGTCCATTACCAGGCCAGAAGCAGAAGTTCAAAGCATCCAACACGAAGAGGTACTGAACAGTAAGAGGTCCGTCGTCAAAATAGTGAATCCCTTCGAAATCCCATCTCACCTCAGGAACCGCTCCACCGATTTTGTCAACAACTTTCTCGATTTCTTAAGTTCGCACCCCCAAAAAAACGCACAAAGGAATCAGAAAAAAAATTCAGGAATCGAAGAAAAGATGCAACATTTTTAGCATCAAAGACGAGGAGAAACGTACCTGAAGAATCAACGATGACATGAGAGGAATGATTCGCAACCCAAGCAGATGTGTCTCTGACGTCATCCATGGCGCTGAACATTTCAACGAAAAATGAACCCTAGAGAGAGACGGAGAGATCAAAACGGAAAAGCTCCACCAGTTTTTCGAAGTTTCCCGCTTTGTCTCTTGTGGGCCCAGTAGGCCCACAAAGGTTGGTGATCCTTTTTATATTGGGTCCTCTTTTTGGATAAATCCAAACGGCCCACATCACGTGGTAAGTAGCCGACCCATATAAACGACATCGTTTCACACGTTTTTTTTTTATACCCTTCAGAATTTAGATCCGGTGAGCTAAACGACACCGTTTGGAGTCAACCAGGAAAAAACGCACAAGAAGAAGAAGCGATTCATATCACCTTCTCTCTTCGCAGCGCCTTCTCCCCTTCCTCCTCCGCCGCCGATCTGTTCTCTATCTTCTCTGGCCGTTCTTCTCCGTCGCCGGGAAGAGGAGTAGTCTACGTTTTTTGTCGGCGGTATCTTCGCTTGGGGGTCCTTCGCCTCAAGCGCCTCGTTTTACCGTCACAAGCTGAGGCAACATCGCGCAAGGGTTTGCAGACGCCGGAAAAGCTGGCTCACAAGATCGGAAAATCAATCCGCCGTCCCGGCGCGCCGTCCAAGGCTAGGGTTTACGCCGATGTCAACGTCGTTAGGCCCAAGGAGTACTGGGACTATGAGTCCCTGACCGTTCAATGGGGGTAATTTGCCGTTTCCTTGCCCATCTCTTCGATTCTTCTCTTACCTCATTTCCTGGCTTTGTTGGTGTTTGCCTTTTGGATTAGATTCGTTTGGATGAATAGGGTGCGGACTTTTCGTGTTTCCGTGGTGGAATGTGGTTATAGGGCTCCATTTCCGACACCATTGAGGCAATTGATGCGCGGAATTTGATTCCTTTCTGTCACAATTCGTGGTTTTAGCGTGTACGGAGATGAGGATTAGTCTATGTTTTAGATAGTTGAATCTCATCGATCTCTGCCAAATAAGCTTTTGTTGTTGTTTAAGGGGTCTATGAATGTCATGCCATTGCTAAGCAAATCAATGTTTAAGAGGTAGATTTTTTGATGAAAAACAGTGAACAGGATGATTATGAGGTGGTGAGGAAGGTCGGAAGGGGCAAATACAGTGAAGTGTTTGAGGGTGTACACACTACAGATAATGAAAAATGCGTTATCAAGATTCTGAAGCCGGTGAAGAAGAAGAAGGTTGAGTTAGTCGATTCCCTTCTCATCTTGCCATTACATTTATGAATTTTTGCATTTGTTTTTGTTAATTGGCGATATTCCTAACGCTTTTGCTTCTGCCCGAATGCAGATTAAGAGGGAAATTAAGATTCTTCAGAACCTTTGCGGCGGGCCAAATATCGTGAAATTGCTAGACATTGTTAGAGATCAGCAGTCAAAGACTCCCAGCTTGATATTTGAATATGTGAACAACAAGGATTTTAAAGTGCTCTATCCAACACTTTCAGACTACGATATTCGATATTATATCTATGAACTTTTGAAGGTAGACAGTCCATTTCCTGTAATCTAGACTGGTTATTCGTTTCTTATATCCGTACTGGTTGGTTTGACAAGAATGTGGTCTGTTAAACGTAAAACTTGAGATAAATGCATATGGGTGGGGAGAAACTATTAATAACATCTAATTTTCATCTTTCTCGATGTAGGCCTTGGATTATTGCCACTCACGGGGAATCATGCACAGAGATGTGAAGCCGCATAATGTAATGATTGATCATGAACAGCGAAAACTTCGTCTAATTGACTGGGGATTGGCAGAATTCTATCATCCTGGGAAAGAGTACAATGTTCGAGTTGCTTCAAGGTAATTTCCTTGGGTTTTGTGTAAAGCTCTCTCTTACGAGATTTGCCATTCTTATTGTTTAACGTGATAGAGATTCTGTTCAAGAAACGTAATCACTTGTGTTGTAGAAGGGATGCATTTTACATTGAGACTTTAGAAGTTAAAACTTACATGTTGATTTTTCATCTAGCGGATACGAATCGTTCACTCATCTTTCGTGTGATCATGGTGTAATTCACTTATGCTAATGAACAGGTACTTTAAAGGTCCAGAGCTGCTTGTTGATTTGCAGGATTATGACTATTCTCTAGACTTGTGGAGTCTCGGATGTATGTTTGCTGGAATGGTGAGCGAATCGAATTAGTTTATCTTCTTAATTTAAAATTTTCTGCTGTCTTCGTTACTGTTTAACGGAATCGGAACTTGGACATTGCTTTTTCTGGAAACATATATGCTTAATTATCGTGCTGATGCTGAGATTTGCTTGCAGATTTTCCGCAAGGAGCCATTCTTCTATGGCCATGACAACTATGACCAATTGGTAAAAATTGCAAAGGTAATAGTAACACATAAATCCTCATCTTTCAGGATGCAACCTGTTGAATCATCACGATTGCAATTTTATTCAATGCCAGAGAGGCGGGCATGTGAACTTATGTTGGTTTGCACTGTGAATAGGTACTCGGTACGGATGAACTTAACGCCTACCTGAACAAATACCGTATAGAGTTGGACCCGAATCTTGCAGCCCTTGTTGGAAGGTATTGTAACAATGTCAGGTTACACATTTTGATGAGCGTTTGCCATTTATGTTTCCATTCCTTTTTCAACAATATTAAAGCTTTGAACAAAAATGGATCTGATTTCCAGGCATAGCCGGAAACCATTGTCAAAGTTCATCAACTCTGAGAACCAGCACCTGGCAGTTCCTGAGGTACAGATTCTTAATGAGACATCCACATTGTGAAATTAAGATTCCCCCAACTGTTCTTGTAATGAACACAGGAGAGACTCAACTGTCTTCATCTCTTCATATTAGGCTGTTGATTTTGCTGACAAGCTGCTGAGATATGATCACCAAGAGAGGCCGACTGCCAAAGAAGCAATGGTAAGAAAATATCGAATCTTTGGAATTTTTACGCAGTACCCTCTTCCCGTATCATAATCTAGAGTGGATGGAATTTGATAAAATGGCAAATAAGAATTGTATTTATGTTTGCAGGCACATCCATATTTCTACCCTATAAGAAACGCAGAGAGCAACCGAACTCGCAGCCAGTGATGATGGCCCGATGAAACAGCTCTCTGATCTCACTTGGCCAATATATTTTACCCCAAAAAAAACTTTTATTACATGGAGTCTCTCTCTCTCTCTCTCTATTCCTATATGTGATTCATGTTTATTTCTTCTTCTTCTTGTTGCCCTTCAAGTGTTGCTTCTGTGTCAAGAAATGTGGATTGTTGTTTTCCATTGTCTTCTATGGTGCAAAAGTTGAAACTGTCTGTTTGTTCTTCACAGCCCTTTATTATCCTTCTTGAATGCTAAGTTATGCTTCCAGCAATCACTTAGAAAAATCATTCAAGCAAAATTTGATTTAAGAAAAATAAAACAAATTTAGTGAAAGACCTATGAAGTTATGTTTTTTTTTATATATTTTTTCAGAATTTCTGTTGAGTTAATATTTGTTGTGGCTAAAAGTTAAAATTTAATATATTTTTTTTCTACAATGATTTAGTGATGAGGGCCGGTTTTTTCATTTGTGAAGGGGAGAGCAGTGGGAACACGAATTGAATAGAATGGATATAGCATGCGCAAATATTGTATTGTTCGTTTCCCTAAAATTAAAATAAAGCCGAATTATATAGGGAGTCGGAATTTCAGATTATTTATTTTCTATTTTGTATGCATATATATAATATAATAATATATTGGAAATTTTGGATCATCTTTGTAATCCGTCTACGCGTTTTCCTTTTGAGCGGTTCGATGCAGAGCCCACTTTAAGAATCCGTCTGTTTCCCCCTCCTTTGGATCTTTCACTCCCATATCCTATTTTCTCTCATTCAAAAAAAAAATAATATTTGTGAGTATAAACCTATTTAAATGTTTTTTTTGTCATATGCACTCTCGACCGTAAATAAAATTTTATTACATGAGTTTTATAACTATTTAAATTGATCCAAAGATTATTCCTCTTATATTTTAGTAATTACCTTGACCGAGAGATAATTTATGAGCTCGTTTATATTATTATTCACCTTGATTTTATTATTTTTCTACTTATGTGACTTCCCGGTAATTGGTATATTCTACTCGTTATATTATAAAAATGCCACCGGTTTTGATGGGCATCGAAATTATATCATACTATTTACTCCGGCGAAAAAAAAATGGACCGATAATCAATTAATAAATATTCTTTGATATGATAATTCGATTTGTCGATTCTTTTCTGTGGATTCCCAAAGATAAGCAAATGCTGATTTTATACTCTCAATTTCATAAAATTAGCTTTAAAATATTACAAATAGATTCCATTTTCCTTTTTCGAATTCAAAACTTTATTATTAACCATATTCTTCTCCAACTCCAATCATGGGATCCGAATATGCCCTAGTTTTCAAAGTACAACCATGCAATAACTTGTGTTCGTGGTCTGATATCTTTGGAAAAAGGTTGGTCTTAATTAAAATTTTTAATTTGAATTTGAAAATTAAAAAAAAATCAATTACATAATTACATAAATAAATGGAACTTACCATATGCAGTTTCAATTATAAGGAGTTGCACTGTGCATGAAACTCACAAGACAGGAGAGAGAGAGAGAGAGAGAGAGAGAGAGAGAGGGAGAGAGAGAGAGAGAGAGAGAGAGAGTCCAAGAGGGTTGACCATTGAAAGACAAAGATACCAAGAACCACTTCGAAACTGAAATGACATTTTGTCTTCTTCCCATCCTTAGTTTAAGGGCAACTGTCCTAAGCATTTCCTTTTTATTTATGTCCTCTTTTTTTATTTTACCCACGTTTCTTTCCTACACCAAAAATAAACTCGCATATTAAAATTTCACGCACACACACACACACATATATATATATATATATATATATGCATAAAATAAAACATTATATTCCAAAAGAAATATCTTAAAAGAATTACCGAACTTTGCCAGAAAAATTCTGAACTTTTCAAATTTTAATGTTTTATAACAAATTCAATAATAAAATAAATGCATAAAACAAAACAGTATTGTTCTGTTAGTTATCTCAAAATTCAATAATTGTTGTGGGATTTTCTCTATTTCAAATTCAGATATTTTTTTTCGGGAGAATAATAACCAATACAAATAATATAATGCGATAGGAGAGCCTTGAACTTGTGGCATTTGCTCTCATGTCCCCTTCCTTGTCTCTCCATCAAATCTATAGACTATAGCTCCTCGCAGCTACAAATCCATTGGCTTAAGGGATTATGTTCCCACTTCTTGATCTAAACCCATGATTTTTTTTTTAAAAAAAGAGAGAACTATTTGTATAGGGAAATCAAATCCACATTATTGCGGGCCATATGAATATTTTCTTAATTTAAGATGTGGAGCGTGGATACACGCGCGAGGAGTGGAGAGTGATGGTTGGGCGAACAGGTAGAGGACCGGGGACAATAAGAATCCATGATCTAAAGAGTGATTAGGGAACATTAAGCACATAATCCGATCGTGGGGATTGTGTCTGAGGCCTAAATCTAACCTTTGTGATATGTTTAGCATATTTTCATGTTTATTTGCTTAAATCATCACTAACCACCCTCACCAATTGCACCAAATATATTATTTGGTTGCTTATTATTCCAAAGAGAAAAAAAAACTTTTTACCAAAAGCGCTATTTGCAAACTTGGATCTAAAAATTGAATAAAGACCTTCGACTTTTTATTCCTGAATAGAAATTTTTTAAATAAAATGACTCTTTGCGGAGCTTTCATTTAGATATGAATATATAAGTAAAATCATATGTAGGAGGTGTAGCAAATGAACAAGAATATGATTGATTTAGAAATGAAGTTCTTAAACCAATATTCAATAAATACATGTATTTAAATACAATTACATAAATTTCTTTGTTTGTTAAAGGAAATTTAAACGAGTGATAACATTGGACCGTCGTTATAAATTATACTTAACGAGAGAAGATAAAGCAGGGTATAAAAAATTGTTGACGGTGCTTAAGCATCTTACCCAACAACATAAATAATGCCCTAAAAACAAATAATGTTTTTTTTGTAAATGCTAATATTATGGTGCTCCGCATATCTCTCCGACGGTTAACCAAAGTGTAGTAAACATGATTAGGACAAGTAAACAAAGAATAAATAAATTAATTATTCAAGAGAAATTAAAACAATAGACCAAAGTTGCTTGGTCAAAGGACAGTTGCTTGTCTGTCATTTTTTATTATGGCCACCACGTGCACTTGCATGGATACACATACACACTCGGCATGTGTGTGTGTATGTATGTATATATGTATGATGATGATGATGATGATGATGGTGATGGTGGCCATGGTGTGAATGGACGTGATTTGACACGACGAAAGTCATAAGATGGCAGATGCTACGCGTTCATTCTTATCATAGACATCGTTCCTTGTTTCAGTTCTTTTGTTTTTCTCTTCTCTGTGCCATAGCGAATACACATTGAAAAAGAAGGATATATTAGGGATATATGTAACATATGTATGCATGTATATATACACACTATTATAAGTTTTTATGCTACCATATCGAACCGACATTAATTGGTTATAAATTATATGATCTACATATAGCTCTTTTTTTCATTTTATGATTTGGGAATGGAATTAAACATTTAAATGTATTTACATGTGTTTACTTGGCTTTTATAGACGAAACTCAAATAAACATGCATACCAAAGGGCTCCAAGACTTAGGCGAGGGAAAAAAAATTCAAGAACAAAAATGTATAATGTATTAGTATACAATCGAATCAATACTTAATTACGACTTTTTCGATTGTAAATCTTTGTTTTCAACATTTAATGACTCGTAAAAAATGATTACACAATTTAATCGTTTATTCTTTCTAATTTGGATATATATATATATATATGGAAATTAAATATGATGATGAAAAGTTTTTTTTTTGTAAAACGATGATGAAAGTATTGTTGTATTCAAGCACATATACGTAAATAACGTTACTTCGTCTATGATTGCATCAACTTTTATGACAAGTGCAGATATACTTTTTTATTATCACCTTACAATCAATAAAATTTTCATAAATAGTTTCTTCTAGTAATGGTAAATGCGTATTTAATTTCCACCACCATAAAAATGGGTATTTGTCACGTATCTTTCGCTTCGGTTTTTGTCGTCGGTTTTTATCTTCCACATCTCAGAAATATATTTAAGAAAATAAAATTAATTTAATAAGAAATTGAATTTGAGGAAGATTAAAAAAAAGGCATTGGAAGTTTCGGCCAAGAACAAGAAGAAGCCCCAACAAGTAAGCTGCATGCGTAGTCCCATCTTTGTTCTTTGACTATATCATCTTCTTCTGTATATCGACGCTTTTCTCATTTGTTCTTTTTATTCATTTTCTCATAATTCCATATATTTATCCACATGAAAGTAAATTACATAAAATACCTCTAATCACTTGAGTTATCTACTCTAATCGATGCTTAATATGTACTACTATATACGACATCAATCATTTTTATATTTTCTTAATGATTACTTTTTATAATCCGAAAGTTTAACGGATCTTTATTTCAACTACATCTCTTAGAAAACCAGAGAAGTATGAGTGAATGCTCCTACCTACGCTTAGATTTGAATCCGAAATAAAAATATACTTTGTATATTTTTTTTTTATCATTAGGCCATTCATACTTGGATATGATTACGAAAATTTTAATGAACTAATTTCTTATAATAGCCCGAGTGGATTTATATACATAGGCATTGAACCAATATATATATATATACTTAAAATAAAAAATTCAAGTGATTAATTTCCTACTACATAAGTTATTATAAAATACTCCATTTCAACGTATATTCGTCGTAAAATTCAAATGATTTCCTATTACATAATATAAAATTTAGGCTTTGTTATATTCGTGGTAAAATCATTGAATATCCTAACGTAGATCTATCTTTTGTAACACATTATCCTTCACGGTGACTAATAATCGGATTTTATTAATTTCATAAATAAAAGATTGATGAATGATAAACAAAGAAACATGTATATATAATTACTAGTAGATATTCGAAACGGAAAAAGGAAATTTATAAATCTCTTGTTCCTCCTGGCAATTGAGATAGAAAAGCATGTCGTCGACCTGCCACGATATCGTGATTATGTATGAAACGTCCTTTCAAACATTACTATTCACTCTTTATATATACTTCAATGCACATATATACACATATATATACATACACATACGTATATACACATGTTTTTTTTTGATACATTGGGAACCCCGATCCAGC